CTATCGAGAAGGGGGAGTTCATCGTTCCCTCAGCACTTTCGGTCTGTGGTTCCTTTCGGTCTTTTTTTTCATTGGCTTTGCGAGCTTTATCAATGGCTTTGGACATTGGGGACTTCTTGGCAGACTTGTTGATCTTAACAAAATATTTGTTCAACAAGGTGGCAATTTTCTTCTTTGATGAAATGGTTACCTCACTGGGTGAAGATAATGGGGTTGCTGTTTTCGTACGCCCAGCATTTTCGAGATTTCTCAGAAGACTCCAAGCCTTAGAGCTATCCCTTAGGTTTAACCTTGCACAGGTGTTGGTCCAACGTTCTCGTTTTTCCCTGTTTACAGACGTTTTGACTAGTAGGCTGAGTCTGTTGAATTTCTGCCTGAGTGTTGAATTGTTTGGGTTCTTTTGGACCTTTTTGTATGCCCTTCTCCGAGCCAAAACAAGTTTGTTGATTTCAGCCGTTCAAAAGTTTTTAAATTTTTTACAATGGTAAGTTCGAGGAATAAACTTTTTAGCCATGCCCAGGATAGCTGTTGTTATTTGACGGTACACAAGGTCGACAGAGCTAGACTCTACATGGATTTTTTCAAGGGCATTGTCGACAGCTGTCTCGTATCTTTTCCAATTAGCCTTACTATAGCACCACTTTCGTGGTTCTTTTGTGGTCTTGGTGTTCATTTTAGAAAGAGTGGCAGTCAGTAATATTGGAAGGTGGTCACTACCAATATCGCCTAGTACTTGATAAGTTATGACAGATTCCAAGTTAGCAGAGACTAAAGAAAGATCTGTTCGTGATAGTGAACCATTGCTAGCATGCAGAAGAGTAGGAGGAGAGTGTTTATTTTGCAAAAGAAAAAGGTTAGTAGAATTGCATAGGTCATGAACTTTTTTACCAGACTGATCAGTGTCATCATAGCCCCAGGAAGGTGAATGGGCATTTAGATCTCCAGCTATGATAGTGTCTACAGTTATTGTCTCTCTGACATCTAAAGCCAGTTCTTGTTTTGGTTGATTATAAACATTGATGCACTTGAAGCGTCTATTATTTTTCCAAATTTCTAACACCAAAGTGCCTGTCCTCCCCTGACTCAAGTCTGTGGACACTTTCTTGGCGACCAGAGCATTAGCCACCAATGTAACCAGGCCTCGGCAATCCCCACAGAAGCAGCGGAAAACAGAGTACCCGGGTATTGAGACACTTCTTTTTTCACCTATCAGACATTCTTGCAGTAAGGCAACATCCACACACTCTTTGTGGAGCAGGTTAGTTATTTTGTCTTTGGAATAAGTCCTCGGACGTTACATTGAAGGACTTTGAAAGTTTTAGCATCAGATTTGGAAATTTGGGGATCATGTTGCTTTATCTTTCCACCTAAATTAGTGTGGGGGATACTAACTTTCCCAGTATGAGGTGTTGGTGTTGGGTTAATTTTTTCTGAGACTTTTGGTTTTTTAATTGTTGTGTTTGTTTGAGGGAAAAAGGATGTTATCAGGGTTTGTGTGTTGGGAAGAACGGTAGCTCTTTTTTCACAACGTGGCTCGTTCTCCCTTTGTACCAACGTTGCGAGGAAATCAGTAGCACATTTTTCGATGCCAGGCCTAATGCCCTTTACCTGGCTAGCGGAGCCTGTTAGGGTCTGCTCAGACCCGCTTTTCTTTGTAATTTTACTCGACATTGGTATGGGTTCCTCCTGGGGGAGGAGATTTGAGTTGCCCCTTAGAGCGAGCAGTGAAAAACAGTCCAGACATGAACATTGAACTATGAATCGGTCGAAAGATCAGTTAATTCAACCACTCGCTCGTATGGGCAGGGTTTAATCCACGAAAGTGGAGTGAGGCAGGAGACCTTTTTTTTAAAGCCACCAGTTTAGAGCCCGCAAATTTTGATGGCTTGACCCTCCACTAGTCTTCAGGGCGCGACTGATCAGTTCAGCATTAGCTAAAGCCCCGACAGACACAAATCCCTACACCAGACGAGCGTGCAGGGGTTATGTCGATCAGAGCTTAGCATTGCCCAGACCTCACCAGCAGAAGAGCATGAGAGCCTGCTAGGAAAGTTGGGGCTCCCGCAACGTTAGCCTTTTTCAGACCACCCTGACAGCAAAAGGTGGACTTACTTCAGTTACTAGGGGACACCACGAGGAGGTCGGCGGGCACTGTCCCCCGTCTGTCCCGTTTAGATCTAGTAAACTAGAAAAGATAGTGAAAATCCGACATCACAATATTTTAGACCATTCTAAGTTCTGATGCAACGACCATTTTTTTCTTTTCTGAAAGAGAAAAAATCTAATTTTTAAAATCACTTAGTCAAGCAGTTTTTTCATAAAATACACCACTTTTACAACTATTCACTATTAATAGTAACAAACACTTGAGGCTCTTTACCAGGGGAAACTACCTTTTGCCATATATTTATACATTTATGCAAACGGTTGTAGATTTTTCATTACAATTTTTTTATATTTGTATTGTTAAGATATAAAAGTTCTGTTATACTAAGTACTATATTTACACAATAAAAAGATTATAATATTTTTTAAAAATAAACAATCTATTTAGTATACATGTCAAACATAATTTAAAACAACAATTAATAAGTAGTTTTCATATTATCGCGTGGACTTCAATTGCACAACGCAGTATACAACATCTAACCAAAGAAAAACATTTTTTTTTAAATTGTATTTTACGGAAATATTTTATTCTTGAGGAATAAGAGATTGGCCCTATACAAAACAATTAGATCAGTTAGATATTCATTATAAGACATCAGTTAGGACAGGTTCACATCAACTTGACATTCAATTTCACCTATCCATTGGTCTGCTGGACCGCTGGGTCACCACACGAGATCTGTTAACCTTTTTTTCTCCTTTATTTTCTGTCATTTGTCTTTGATAAAATTTCATTCTGATAATATTGAAACCTGCCTTTTTACCTGCCTGGGTGGACCACTTCGGGGGCCGATTTTCAGTTTGTGTTTCTACACAACCTGTCTTTGTAACCTTGTTGTTTTTTTTAAAGTACTCTGGTCGCTCACATGTAGACATTCAGATCTAACTTTTTTTCTTTTCTTTTTTTTTTAGTTGCTTGACAATAAATTTCTTCACTACTCAAAATGTCAAGTGCAACGAACTAGTAGTGGACACTGTCCTGGGTCTTGCCGTGGACAACAGTGCAATCAACGTCAATCTCGCCAAAGAAAATTCTGGAGATTTCCACAATGTGATGATTACTCGACTTTAACACAGTCTTTACCACTGCATGTGAAATGAACTAACTCATACGTTAAATTCCAAGATGATACACACAAACGATTTTCAGACACAATTTTTTACTCTAAGAATGGTTGCTAGGTTCTAGACACCAGTAACTTAAGAAAATTTTAATATCACTGCAGAGGCTGCATTAGCTGCACTTAGGCGCCTGAGCAAATATCTCTGCGGAGGCTGCATTAGCTGCACCTAGGCGCCTGAGCAAATATCACTGCGTGTCAGCATTAGCTGCACCTAGGTGCCTGAGCAAATATCACCGCAGAGGCTGCATTAGCTGCACCTAGGCGCCTGAGCAAATATCACTGCAGAGGCTGCATTAGCTGCACCTAGGCGCCTGAGTTAATATCATATGCGGGGTCTGACCCTAACTCTTACCCAAAATATCATGCTAGGATCTTTCATGGTTATTGGAACTGCTGCCCGGAAGTCTTCATCAATATTGAGTAACATTTCCTTTTTTTTAGGATAATGGTTTTCGCTTGAATACAACATACTGAATAACAGTCACTTGCTTACTGGTACAGCATATTAGAAATCGTGGCAGAGGACCAATTTTTTGTATAATGAGAATATTCATATCGCATAACCATCTCAGAAGCGGGGCATTTCGGCTTATCTTATCTTATATAATACAGACGTTACTTCAAAAAAGAAGATGATTGCGTCCTACGCATCATGCATCTAGCCATGCATGTTAAGCAATGACATGAATTCTTCCAAGACACTGGTTTTCCTGGCTGGCTCAGGCAACTCATTCCATGCTCTAATGGCACTAGGATAGAAGGAGCAATTGCACAAATTTGTCCTAGCATAAATGTCATTTGTCCTCCCCAAAGGCCGCCTCTGATAACAGGATCAAGACCTGTTCTTCTAGTAATGTAAGGATATCATTTTGCAAGAGATGTGAAAGTTGACATGCTAACATGTTTTATTGACCTTCTGGCAAAGGAAGCACAAAGTGTGTGTACGTTTTATTTTTAAGGACTACATCTAACCATTTACGTGTTTATTCATTTCAAGGTTTTACGCGTTCGTATACACACTTGATGAAGTGAATTATGTATTTCTGGCACAGTGAAAATCATTATCAGTCTAAGCCAAGTGCTTATTGCTAGGACTCTATACTGACTACTATTAACTCTGAGTTAGTGTGTTGTTGACTTGTTGTTAGTAACGACCATATAAATATAGTTAACATACAGAGGCTCTTTAATGTGAAGTTTCCGGTTTAATACACCAGTGCTACTCAATTGTGACTCACACGAGTAATCGAACTTTTACAAAGTGATTCGTACGGCTTGGGACAAACTAAAGAAATAGCTGTCTACGTTTGATTAGGAAGTTAATGATTTGTTTTTAAATGAGTAACAATTGCAGTGGGGCTTTACTTTGAGTAACTTTTAGCAAGGCTTCAGGTTAAGAAACAAAATTAACGGGAAACAATATTACATGGGTCATCTCTTTAATAAGCAATATTACATGGGTCGTCTCTTAAATAGACAATATTACATGGGTCATCTCTTTAATAAGCAATATTACATGGATCATCTCTTAATTAGACAATATTACATGGGTCATCTCTTTAATAAGCAATATTACATGGGTCATCTCTTAAATAGACAATATTACATGGGTCATCTCTTTAATAAGCAATATTACATGGGTCATCTCTTTAATAAGCAATATTACATGGGTCATCTCTTAAATAGACAATATTACATGGGTCATCTCTTTAATAAGCAATATTACATGGGTTGTCTCTTAGCAATCAATACACATTCGGAGAAACAAACTTTCCCCATTATACTGCTCAATTTCAATTTTGTTTCCTTGTAATAATAATAATATTAAATGTTTTTTTCCATTGTTGTTATATCATTTATGTTTTGGCGAATCTTTCCATTGAATGCTTTCTTGGGTATCTCTTTTTTTCCTCTTAATGTAATGTGACATAAAATATGCCCAAGGACTCTAATTCTTCCATTCGTTGTGTGAAATAGACATTTAGAGAAACAAGAAGCCTCGTTTTGAACATCGTGGTGTAGACGTGCACGGATATATCCATTGAACACAAATATAAACTTTGGGAGATGGCAAAAAAAAAAAAAAGGAAAAGAAAAGAAAAGAAAAAACCGAGGAAGGGCTGCTAGCAGAAGTGGCGTCAGCAAGAAAGTGACGTCTGCTGGAAAGTGACGTCTGCTGGAAAGTAGCGTCTGCTAGAAAGTGGCCTCTGCTGGAAAGTGATACCTGCTAGAAAGTGGCGCCTGCGGTAAAGTGGCATGATTTCTATCCCAAATTTACACCCTGGCTTTAATGCTAGTGAACCTCAGCTTTGAATGTCTGCCTATTCTGGACTCACACAGATTATGGTCCAGCTTTGAATGTCTGTCTATTCTGGACTCACACAGATTATGGTCCAGCTTTGAATGTCTGCCTATTTTGGACACACAGATTATAGTCCAGCTTTGAATGTCTGCCTATTCTGGATTCACACAGATTATGGTCCAGCTTTGAATGCCTACCTAGTCTGATCTTACACTTATTTTGAGATTGGTGGCTGAGAAGTTTTACTGGTCTTTGACTTATAGTCAAACATAATTCTGGATATTTTGCTTGTATTGCCTCCATTACTATAAGTGACTTTAAGTCATCAGTATTGACCAGTGTAGACCAATCTGATCTACATGATCTTTGGAATGATGTGGTTTAACAAGGGAAATATTTCTCATGGCAAACAACTACACTAAAACGACATACTCCGTTGCTGGGTATTGTGCATATGCATTGGACTGTGTATTTTGTCATTCTATTTTTTACTTGTGAATACAGATAGGTGGGTGTGTTTTGTTTAGAGATGTGCTTGCAATGTGGACTAAATCTTACCATTTCTATTAAAATATGATGTATATATTTTTGTATTATTGTCATTGATACATTTATCACATGATCATAAAATGCATTTATTTTTATTTTACATTGTGACTATAATATATTTTTGGGACCTTAAGTTAATTTAATGTATTATACAAATAAATGACAAGCCAATAACAAATTTGTAAGTTATTAATAAAAAAATATTCGACTTGTGGTTAGTTATGAATCGCTATAGAATCACGACCTAGCGGTGATAATATCAGCTTGATGGTATCAACTTCATCTAGTGATGATGGTATCAACTTCATCTAGTGATGATGGTATCAACTTCATCTAGTGATGATGGTATCAACTTGATCTAGTGATGATGGTATCAACTTCATCTAGTGATGATGGTATCAACTTCATCTAGTGATGATGGTATCAACTTCATCTAGTGATGATGGTATCAACTTCATCTAGTGATGATGGTATCAACTTGATCTAGTAATGATGGCATCAACTTCATCTAGTGATGATGGTATCAACTTCATCTAGTGATGATGGTATCAACTTCATCTAGTGATGATGGTATCAACTTCATCTAGTGATGATGGTATCAACTTCATCTAGTGATGATGACATCAACTTCATCTAGTGATGATGGCATAAACTTCATCTAGTGATGATGGTATAAACTTGATCTAGTGATGATGGCATCAACTTCATCTAGTAATGATAGTATAAACATCTAGTGATGATGGTATAAACTTGATCTAGTAATGATGGTATAAACTTGATCTAGTGATGATGGTATAAATTTGATCTAGTAGTATGTAATATGAGTTTAGTTTTTTTTTGTAAGAATAGCTAGCAGGGAGAAAAGTAAAGAAAAAAACAAGATGACTTTATCTTTTCATGACGCTATCATAGAATGTATGAATTTTGTCCCATCTATTGCACGTAAGAAATGTCGTCATAGACCAAAAACTTAGGGAATTCAGCCTTTCACGAGACTTCATTATAGAAACAATTTTAAAGAACCGCACCTACAACTGATTTTCTTGTTGTTTTTTTTCAAAGTTCAAATCGCATTGCACAAAAAACATAGACCTGGCAACTTGCTACAAATTTAAGCTCAAACAATATGCTCGGGGTTCTCTACAAGTTTTAGCTTTTCATCAAAGGAAATTATTTCCCGTAAACATTAAACAGTAGCCAGCGTCTCACCTTACGGTTAATTACACTTATCGTGACGTGGCTTATGCACACAGATCTTGAAAGTTTTAGAATACAACAAACATAAAAAAAATAAATAACAATTATTAATCATATATTATCAATCTCAATAATTATATATTTTTAATAGCAATTAGCATTATATTTCAATTCGATTCGTTTCTAAAGTCTGTAACATATTGCATATTGTTGGGCTTTTTGTAGCAGCCATGTTTTAACAAGTAGTTGGTTTTATGATGTCGAATAATGTAATAAAAAAAATCTGCAGTGGTGAATTTGAGAATCTGTTGTAATTCCCCAATATAACGTTCCTAATGGTGAATTTGAGAATCTGTTGAATTAGTTTCTAATGTGCAGTCTTTTAAAATTAAGAATGCATATTTTGTACATATATAAAAATGTTATTTTGAAAACACGATTGTAAAGCATCTCGTGTAAATTGGGAATTCTTGTGCACATTATTAGGAATACGAAGTGGCACACATTGTTTTCTTGTTTTAATCTTATCTTATCTTATAAAATACAGATTAAATAAAAATGATTACGTTCTCTTGGTCTATCTAGTCATGCATGTCAATCAATGCCTTACATTCTGCCATTGGTTTTCCTGGCTGACTCAGGCAACCCATTCCATGCTATAATAGCACTAGGGAAGAAGGAGCATTTGTACAATTTTGTACTAGCTTTCTATTTCAAGATATTTGAATGTTAGCGATGTAAGGGGGGAAATATTTAAGATGTTTTCAAGGCTAAGACTAAGGCTGCTTTATTGATCCTTATGGAAATTTGTTGTGATTGCAAGGACTCTTTTCTCATATAAAGACAACACAACAGAAACATACACATAAATAGAACAGACACAACATAAAGAGTTCATTCAGCGACTACACACAGGCATCTTGGTCCTTTTCATGTTTCCTGATCAACGAGTGGCGTTGATAAAGTCTGACCGAGTCAGGTACGAACGAGTTTTTGTACCGCTCTGTTCTTGTTTTGATTGACAGAAGTCACCTACTTCGCGTATCTAGGATCTTCTTATTTAGTTTAAAGCTATTGAGTTTATAAAGGAAAAATAGTCGCTGGGCTGTTTTCTTTGTCAGAATTCCAAGGTGGCAAATACTAATTTCTTCCAAAAATAAGCTCATGGCGCATTACATGTTTTTTGTTGACTAAAAGTTTTCAAAATTCTTACAAAATACAAAACTTGTTCTGGTTAGGGGATTCTCAGGTAAAAGTAAAATTGGGAAGAATTCATTAATGTATAACACGGAGGCTTGAGATTTAAACCAAGATCCTTCATGTCACTGTTAACAAGTTTACTCAAGAAAAAAAATGCATTGTAAACAGATTGTTACATACACACGGAATTTGAAAATCGATTTCAACGCCAAGCAAACATTCCGTGAAAACTGAAACCAATCTTGTGAGTGATATGTTTGTTAAATGTAAACATCGGTCTAACGTTAAAAAGTTGCACTGTATTCTCGTCTGACTGAATTCAAGTTAGAAATGAAAGAGAACTCTGCTAATGTTGCCGTGTAATCAAGAAAACAATTAACAGTACATCTAGAGATGTTTTCTTTCCATACAGGAGGAATTTTTAACAGTCTTTTGATGAGCAAAGATGGCGAATTTAAACAAAGTCACGTGTAGAAACACTATGTAATATCTGTATAATAATAGGCTATTAGTGACACCATTGTTTATACAGTGTCAGAGAAAGAGTTGGCAGTCTCCTCCACAAAGTAAGCTTAGTGTTTGTTTCGTTTAAATAACGGTTGTCTTTCTGAACTTTGAATTTCAAACAAATATTATTCAGAGACCTGTGGGAGGCATATCGAACATAATTAAACTAAAAAGATAACGTCATAATAAAGCTCATGCTAAGTTTATTCAACCTGGTTAGAAGGTCATTTTTTTTTCTAATTGGATAAACTACTACAACTCATAAGTTTAGGACTAGAATTTGTTTAAAGAATTAGCAAAATTAAAGCTTGTCTACTTAAATGTACCTAGGGTTAAGTTTTTCTTTTAATGCACACTTTTAGCTCATACTTTAGCTCACACTTTTAGCTCACACTTTTAGCTCACACTTCTAGCTCACACTTTAAGCTCACACTTTAGTCAGAGTCAGAGCGTGGTGGCTGAGGGGTTAGGTGCTTGGTTTTTGAATTGAGAGGTCTCAGGTTTGAATATCAGTGAAGACTTGGATATTTAATTTCAGGATGTTAACTCTTTCTTTCCTAATTGTCGATACCATCATTGATTTCACCTCATTAAATTAATTCAATGTTTAAATTTATAAACTTGAACTTTTGCTCTATAAAAAGAGCATGCATTTCTCTTTTATTCTCTGCCAAAGGGTTTAAACATTTTCTGATCACTAACAACAAAGTTATGGAAGCTTTAATCCTAACAGGGGAGGGAAATGGTCACGGGCAAAAAGAAGAATGCCTTCAAAACGTGGGAAAAAGCGTTAAGGACGCCCCTGAGTCCCCACCCAACTGCGATGGGCTACCTGACATTAGTAGGGGAAAGTTGGTTGTTGAGCTGGCCACATGACACTCTAGTTAACTGTCGGTCATATAATCAGATAACCTTCACATTATCTGCATTGTAGATCGCAAAGTCAAAAGTCAAACAAGGAAAGCTGATCAACAGCACAAATCAATAACTCAAATTTCAGACTAAATTTTCAGACATACTAGTATGACTGGTTTGTTAAGCTGATAGAAGGTCGCACTAATAAGGCTCGGGTTCGATTCCCTAAAGGGCATATTTTATCACAAAATATGATTGTGAATATTATTGGAACATAATGTAGTTTTTATTTCTTTTTTTTTAAACCAAAATATCATCAGTCTAGATATGTCTGTATAACACTGTGTTAAAAATCGTATTTTCTAGAGGGGCAAAATAATATAATTTATTAAATGGAGCCCTGCTGCTTATTTGAGTCTTCATTCATAATCTGTTAATATACAGATCTATCTGCTACTTTAACTATGAGAACACAGACAATTTTACATGCAATCTACATTTTCATGGTCATAATTTAGCATATTTGAGTTTATCTCACCCACAAAGATTATACTACAAAAAAAAAGATCACCTATCCTCCGAACTTGTGGATTGGGTTGAATATTTGTTAATAGCACACCATTAGGAGGAGGTAGCCCTAACATAACTTACTGTCATGAGCGAGCAAAGTAGACCCAATGTGATGCCAAGTGGTAATAAGCACCTAAGCATTATTTCAATCTCTCTCTCACACACACATACTCTCTCTCTTTCTCTGTCTCTGTCTGTCCGTCTCTCTCTCTCTCTCTCTCTCGTTTCTCTCTGGTGTTCTGGTCTTCTTTTCTTCTTTCTGTCCTTTTAATTCTAAGTATGTGAAGAATGTGTGACAAATTAAATAGTTCTCACTTATGTTTAGTTCATGGTGTTCCAGACATTCTACCAAAGACTTTGAATACGCTTGAATAACTGTTTCTTTAAAGAGTATATAATCTATAATTCTATCCTAACAGCAAACGTCAAGGCAATGGTTCATTAACTCATTCATCTCAATTTCACGTACATATTGAATTCCTTGTCTCTACTAAACTACTAAACCATAATGAAAATGTCGTTAGAGGCGAATGTCACCGTATCACTGTGGACACCCGATGCAAAGTATTTTTACTACACAAGATTCAGTAGCTCCAATGCAACAGTCAAAACCCTCATCTACATACTAACGTTTGTTGCGATCCCAGCGATATCTTTGCTGGGGATTGTAGGGAATGTTCTTACTGCCTGTGTCCTCAGACGTCAAGGTTTCAAACGAAGCTACAACATCTTCATACTAGCTCTGGCTATTTCAGATACGATCTTCCTCGTTGGAGTCAACAATGTCGCAAAAATCATTTACGACAGAACTGGTAGAATCGGATTTTACTTATCCCATAGTTCATCGATGATTCTGTATGCCCTGCACGCGCTCTGCAACGGCATGGAAGTGGATGGGAAGTTTATGTCCATGATACTTCCGGCTTTTGTTTCTTTGGAAAGATT